ATCTTGCGCCTGCTGTTTAGTAAGGGAAAATTGCTGAGCTAATGATCTAGCATTCTGGTGAAAAAAATCATGTGAAAGTCATGCTTGTTGTAACACATTGGGCCAGACAACTGGCATAGTCAGGGCATCAGCCACAGCATTACCCTCCGTGATGGGCCCCGGTAAAGTGGTATGTGAGCGAATATGGACCACAAAGTACAGGTGTGTCCAAGCCAATAAAAGGTGTGACAATTGCAAAAGGAGCTGAAAGAGGAGGCGATTATTGACCTCCTTGAGAAAGGAGCTCTCCAAACGCTGTACTATACCAGACACATATGCCGAGTCTACAAGATTTAACTGTTCCTCCGAAAATAGTTCAAAAGCATGCACAGCTGCGGCGAGCTCAACAATTTGGGTTGAGCCTTGCACACAGAAACATCCGAGTTCCAGGGGGCATCATCGCCCTCCCTCCACACAACTACAGCCTTGCCTGTGTTCCCTGAGCCATCAACAAATACAATGCGTGCGCCAGGGAGGGGGATATGAGAAAGCATGGTCTGGGGCTGCAGAGGCAGTTGTGGCAAAGATTGTAATAGCCGATGGCATGGCAAGGTATACTCGATCCGCCCCAAGTAATCGGCCAGCGCAATCTGTAAACTAAGGCTTTGAGACAGCCAAAAATCAAAAACAGCGCGTGTCACAGGAATATGAAGGACAGAAGGATCCGCTCCGGTGAGTTGTTGGCAACGGACATGACCCTGAGAGATTAGACGAGCCAGCATATCCGTTGCCGTGGTAACCGGCATGGCAAGGTATACTCGATCCGCCCCAAGTAATCGGCCAGCGCAATCTGTAAACTAAGGCTTTGAGACAGCCAAAAATCAAAAACAGCGCGTGTCACAGGAATATGAAGGACAGAAGGATCCGCTCCGGTGAGTTGTTGGCAACGGACATGACCCTGAGAGATTAGACGAGCCAGCATATCCGTTGCCGTGGTAACCATTTTTGAAAAGGAGTGCAGAAGACAAAGCCACTCCAAGGTGCTCAAAGATAAGTTTGGGGACACGGGACTGTTGTCCCACTGGACAATCAATGCATAAGGCTGAAACGTGTGGTAGATTAAAAATAGTCGAATTGGAAGGTACGCATCTCGGCGGTGACCAAAGGCCGTCTGTATTTTTTCCGCTACGTGTTGTAATGCGGCCACAGCTTTGGGTGTTAAAGCACGAGGCGAGGACAAA